GGCAACGGGCGACTCCACGACGACGGGCGAGCGCAGCTCCCAGGCGATGGCAACAACGGGCAGAGCTAGGAGCGAGGGCGAGTCGAGGACGAACGCAGGCGGCTGGAGGGAGGCCCCGTTTCGACAGCCAATGCAGGCCGCCCAAGCCAGTCGTCGTTCAAACGGGGCCTGGGTTTTCCCTCCAAAAAACAATCGGCCCTCTGGCCGTCGATCATGGATGATCGACGGCCGGAGGGCCGTCACAAATTCAAAAACAAAAACAGGCCTCACGGGCCCGACGCGCCGTTTTCTGGGCGTGGTCGGACCCGGTAGACCTTGGGGAGACATAATCTGGCCGATTCGGGGTCGGAAACCCCCCGCCAGCAAGGTGTGCTGGGGGGGGCCGGCCCCCAACCGGGCCGCCCGCCGGGCCAGGCCGCCCGGGACCTCCCCCGGGCAGGCGCTGGTCGGCCGGACGGCCCGGATCCGTACACAGGTTTTTTTATAAACAACAAAATTTTAACCAGGTGTCCTTCAGGAGATCCGTTAAAATTAGAACAAAGATATGAGAAGATTAGCATGGCCCCTGCCAAGGAGGACAGGCAAAAAATCGAGAAATTGTCTACATTTGTTTTTTGAAAAACTTCACAAAAAGAATAAAAACCACCCAAAAAAACTTTTAACCAGCTGTCATGTTCATCAACACAAGTCTAACACCCAAAAAAAAAAAAAAAAAACCGGGGAAAAAAAACTTTTAAGTTTTAACTTTTAACCAGCAAAGCCAAGGTCCCAATCTGGGCTGAATAGGTGATTCTGAAGGGTAAATCAATGCTGGCAGGATGTCACAGTAGGATCAGACTTTTGGTGGGAACCGTGCCCAGCGTCCCATTTGAAGTACTTGTTTCTGTTCACACTTCACGCTGGGCACGGTTCCCAGCATGAGCCGCCCCCCACAAATAGATTGGAGCTGTTTTCTTAAAAAAAAAAAAAGAAAAAAAAAAAAGGTCATGCCTGAAGGCACTGATAGATGAATTTAGAAGCAGGCTGCAAGTGCGAACAGTCTGTCAGATGCTCATCGAGTCAAAGAGAATGAATCGCCAGCCAACTTCAGTAGAAAACAAGCCAAGCAAATGCAAATGACGCAAACGTCCGGATAAGTTAGTGACGTGTTGTCAATATGGACCTCGCTCCACTGCTCACCGAATGTGCAAAATGAGAAGAAATCTTCCAAAATGAGAAGAAATCTTCTGCAAGAACATGGGAAGACACACGGCCATATTTTTTGTCTTTTTTTGTGCATGTGGTGTGCGTAGCGGAGCAAGACCCAATATACGATGCCTATGACATGGGATCTCCTCGTCATCCAGCCACCCGTCCATCCCATCACAGGTGGTACTATGGAGTTCACCACACGTAGCACGAAACAAGTGAAAAACGAGTGCATCTGTCCAGAGAAGGTGGCAAGATGCATTTAATTTACTGTTCATAGTAAACAAATGAATCTTTCCAGTTTCTGTGGGGAAAATGCACTCTCTATTCGGCTCAGGTCCGCAATGCCTTCGGACAGCAGACGTCGATGTTCCGCGGTCATAGGCGGAGGTGGGACTGAGGAAGCAGAGCATTGACGAGGGAGTAGGAGCGAAGGCCCCTGAGGAAGACTGCATGGCGCCTGTCAAAACTGGTTGGGGTAGCCATCGCCCCACGGGCTCATGCAATCGACGTACAAATTTTCCATGTACTGTGTTCGACTACACAACACCTGCTGTATGCTGAGTTTCGATACGAGATAATACATTAGCATATGTCTATGTTATTAACTATGTTATTAACTTATTATGGTGATAACACGTGAACATATGA